AGTGGAATTTTATGAATTTCAAACGCAAATACTTGGAATTTCAAATGGAAGGTATTCTAGGAATTACAAATGCAATTCTCGAATTACAGCTGATATGTTGTGAATTGCAAATGGAATTCTCGAATTGCAAATTATATGTTGTGAATTACAAATGGAATTACAAATTTGAATAACATGTGAAAAAGGTGTAGATCAAGTCCGAAGATGGGAGCCTTGGTCCAACCCTTCTGGTACCTCCCCCACAAAAGGGTCAACATTTCCAATATTAGGCGAAATAAATATGTGATTTAAACCAAACTTTGCACGTCATTAAATCCGAAACTTTTTGATAAAAAGCGAATAATAAAGCAAATAATAAGACCTGTGTGTAATTCTGAATACCTCTGGGAACCATAAGGGTATATATCTGTCGGCAACACCGAATGAAATTGAAGTACTTTTTTACGAAGAACATTCGTTCTGTCGATTGCTGTCTCATTTTGGGTTCATAGGTTAGATCCATGATTCAACTTTGGCGATCTTATAAACGTCACCTAAGGCAGAGTGAACCTATTTATTAAACATTTTCTTTGATCTCAGGAAAATGTTGACGAATTAATTCAGTTTTTTGGAAAATTTGTTTTTCATATCATTGTAAACAACACAGTTCATATCGTTCGTCAAAATGTACTAATGCGTTTATGTTAAAAAATGTCAAGTTTTCCAATAGAATGGCGCCATTAAATGTTGCAGAAATATGTAATAGCCCTCGTAATACCGATAATGAGACAGGACTTTTAATGTGGGTGCTATGTCAGAATATGGACCATAATTAGTGATTTATACGCTGATATATGTTACTCTTTTAGCACTCATATCCGTTTAAAATACAGATAAAATCTATATAATACCAAAAATGGAAATAAGGAGACTATTCCAAATCTTGGACCCTTTGGGACAGTCCCCACTCAGAAGTAGTAGCAACGTGTTTTGCAGAATTTTTAAAATTTGTCGTAAATATGAAAGCTTTGATGACCTACGGTCCTATTTTACGTAGAATTATGTAACACCTCTATGTGTGCAAAATGAACTACCATGTACAAAATATTTTTGGAAAACAAACACGAAGATCTATGAATTATACAATTTTTTATTTCATTTCAGGTCAGCAATAAAAGATTTAACAATATTTTTAGTACCACTTATTAACATTATACACTTCCGAAGTAGAACACAAATTAGGATATTGAGGATTTGTACCGGTCGAGCATGATGTGGCTGGAGAGCTGCAGTTCTTGTAAATGGGGAAACCCAACATATTTGTGGTAGCATAGTTGCAGGCAATCAAGAAGATTTGTCTATCACCCTCGATTCTGGTATCATCATAAGTGGCGGCGGCACAACCCACACGAATGTTACGATCGGCCATCATAACCGTGAAGTGGCCAATTTTACTGAAATTAAAAAAAAAATAATTGGAATAAACGTTTTTTACAATTTAAATATTGCTTCTAACTTACGGTCCCTTATAGCCCACTGGGAACTCATTGAGATAATCCATTTTAACATCCTTAACTTCATCGTACCACATGGCAAAAGATTTTTGGAAAAGCGTGCTATAACTTTGCTGACCCCAGAATGACCGCCAAGCCAAATTTTGACCAGCATATTTAAAGGTTTCGGTGTTGCGACACTTATCATGAGCCATTTTGCACTGGAGAACGTTGTATGCGGCAACGGCAGCCAATTCATCATCCCATTCCATGGTGGCCATACGGCAAGCAGGTGCCAGACCATTTACACCTCCTCCAGCTACCAGATTACGTTTTTCATTGTGCGCCCGGACAATTTCTGCTTTCAGATTGTCATCGATGTGGACAAAGGCAGCATTATCGGGACATGATTCATCAAATTCCTGAAATTAGATTTTGATTCATGTTACGAACATTTTTTAGGACTGTGCACTTGAAACTATTGTAAAAACTTAAAACTCGTAAGAGTCCTTTTCATTGAGTACTCTAATATCTGCCTCTCCTCTATAAGCTTACCTTGTCGCCACATGCAATATGTGTCACTCCTTTATTGCACAACTTAGTCGAACAATAATCGTAGGCAATTACCGAGGCACTAAGAGTGCTGACAATTAAAATAATGGCAAACTTATTCATTTTTTAAGCTTAGGACTTTTAATTCACACTCTTGTCAGTGTTGAACTGATGAAGATTTCATTCAAACATACACCTTAAATAGTTAAAAGTTTGTCATATATTTCGAAGATATGTTGTAGATCAAGGTCGCCACAAGGAAAGTTGATAAGAACGTGTAAATAACACAGTTACAGGTGTTTTCGAATTTCAGATTTACTTACAGAGTATAAATATTAGCACGCACTATCAAATGTTTACCAATTATGTTTCGTGTGTGCATAGAATAGTTATGGATGGGTGCACTAAATCTGATAAAGTATATCTTTTGAACAGGTCAAGACTCAGAATTTAGGTTAGGTTTTAGGTTTTATATTCGTTTTCGAAGAAAAAATATTTTGATGTTGTGATTTAAGGTTTTGCAAGACGGGAACTATATTATGAGGGCTACAATATATTATCACTAAGTGTGGAATGGCGCCATCTGATATTTTCATTTGAGAGGAATAACAATTTTAGAATTTTTTAAAATTTTTAAAGAATTGTAATCGGATAATGCAGGTGACATCTTTGGAAATTTATTTTACATTAAAATGACAAATTAAGATGCAAATAGATATGAAATGGAACAAAATTATACATGTACATGCCACAAATATATATGGGAGATATACCTACCTCAACGACGTCATTCTAAGCTCAATTTAGAACGATGTGCACAATTTATTCGCATTCGGGCAATATTTGGGTGTTTTGTGAACAAATTGGATAAATTTCATAAAAAAACAGTTAGGAAAGTAGTAAAGTAGTAGTAGTAAAGCCGACTTTATGATAGCCTTCACAACTTTGGATGTATTCAAACGAACCATTGGATAAACTAAACTAAAAAAAAACTCCGATCATGTAGCTCTTTCGAGATGAGCTACAATGAAAAGGAAAGCCAGAGAGATACTACATTCCCACCACTATGCGACGCGTTTCGCCGTTCGTTAAGCGTCTCATCAGGCATATTGGGCAATGTGGCTTACAAATGTCATTACTTGATAAGTTGTATTTATGTCGACTATTGTTGCGAAATTGCATCTACGATTTAAATTCAACCGTGTCAAGGTTCGGACATTTGGCATCACACCAGAACATTCCTTTTCAGATTTTTCAGATTTTTCTTGTAGTGACGGACTTTTTTTCCATACAGACTACAATATTTTTCTTCAATGGTATGCAACTGCATATTGTGCAACCTTACGATATTTATCTAAATGTGAACCGATTTAGATCAATTCATAAACTTGTCATAATAGAGTCGTTTGTTTACAATGGGGCAAATTATATAAATCAATTTAAAGCATATCTCAATCGGACATCTCTTGATTATTTGGAGCTCAATTAACACGAAATCGGTCGAAAAAAATATATGGAATATGTCTGCATTTCTACAAAACCCAGCTACATCATTCTGTGCTCATGTTTGTACTTTGTGCAAAATTTCGTATCAATCGGACAAAAATTAGGAGTTTAGTGCACCATTTGATTTAAATCGGGAATTACTATATATGAAAGCTACATCCAAATCCGAACCGATTTCAACGTTCAAGGTTATACTAACTTAAGTACGCCTTGAGCATATCCGCCATATTTTGGGTCCTTGGTGCATTATTTACTCCAAATCGGACAAAAATAATTTTATGCCTACAGGCCATATTTGGGTCTTTGGTTCATTATTGACTTAAAATCGGACGATTATATATATATATATATATATATATATATTTACGGAGTTATATCAAAATCAGAACCGATTTCAACGAAACATTCCACACTTTAGGTTATACACATTAGGACGAAACTATATATTGAAACTATATCTAAATCTTAACCGATTTCAGCGAAAATTTCCACACCGTAGGTTACATTAACTTCAGAACGTTGTGGAAAATTTTGTGCCAATCGGCCATATTTTGGAGCTGTGCTGCACTATCAACTGAAAATCGGACGAAACTATATATTGAACCTATATCTAAATCTGAACCGATTTCCGCGAAACTTTCCGCGCCGTAGGTTATACCTGCTTCAGAACGTTCTGAAAAATTCTGTGCGAATCGACCAGATTTTGAAGTTTTGGTGCCCCATTTACTGAAAATCGGATGGAACTTTCCACACCGTAGGTTACACTAACTTCAGAACGTTGTGGAAAATTTTGTGCCAATCGGCCATATTTTGGAGCTGTGGTGCACTATCAACTGAAAATCGGACGAAACTATATATTGAACCTATATCTAAATCTGAACCGATTTCCGCGAAACTTTCCGCGCCGTAGGTTATACCTACTTCAGAACGTTCTGCAAAATTCTGTGCGAATCGGCCAGATTTTGAAGTTTTGGTGCCCCATTTACTGAAAATCGGATGGAACTATATATGGGAGCTATATCCAAATCTGAACCGATTTCAGCGAAACTTTCCACACCGTTGGTAATACTAACTTCAAAACGTTATGCAAAATTTTGTGGCAATTGGCCATATTTTGTAGCTTTGGTGCCTCAATTACTGAAAATCGGACGAAACTATATATGGGAGCTATATCCAAATCTGAACCGATTTTTCCGACCGACCTATGCCAACATTCATCCAATTCGGATCATAAATGTGACCTGTACTTTGTTTACAATTTAACATGGACAGACAGATGGACGGACATGCATAAATCAACTTAGAAAATGATTCTATGCATATTCTCAAAAGGAACTATATGTCTATCTCGTTTCTTTTTGCCTGTTACAAACATATGCACAAAGACATAATACCCTGTACCACACTGTGGTGAAGGGTATAAATATATAGGATCTATATCGAAATCTGAACCGATTTTAGAACCGACGTTTATAAAATCGTCACAGGTGATTTGACAAAGCGGAAATCCAACGAATGTTGTTCGTAAACTGTGGTGACTGTTCCGCTGGAGAAACATAGGAGGGCAATTCGCCACACTTTATTTTCCTAAGAGAAGATTAATCGTTGTACAGCAGACAAGGCGAACTCTCACCAATCGCCTAAAACAATTGTTTTATAAACTGTATAGCTTTGACTTGAACCCATTGACTACTCCATTTCAGCTGTTATCATCCTCAATTTGGGAACATGGCTTACAAATTTAATCCATGGATTACACATTGGTATATGAACCTACATTAATTCCGAATATTAGATTTACTGGGACACTCCATTAAAATAAAAAAATTTAGAGCTCTATTAATGATAAATATTTCAAACGAATTCCGCTGTTCTTTTTAATATACAATTTATACAAAATTTATTAGTGAACATAGAGCAAGTATCTGGTAAAAGTTGAAATGGGCGATGAAAATATACAAATATCGATTTCATATCTTTGAGTACCCCATCCAAAATCTTATGAGTAGCATTTTTTTAATATCCAGAAATCTCGCAGTGTTGTAATTTCTTTACGAGTCAAGAAAATAAAGACGAAATGGTTACACAAGGAATCGAGTTCGAAGGACTGATTGTTCTACACTCATCTACATTCTACATTTTCCTCATTCGATTTGACTGAAGATATGTCATCTCAAAAATAACCTGCAATAGCTGCAAGTGAATTTGATTTTCTGTCTATTATCGCGAAGGCTTTCATCCCCAAAAAAAAAAATTAACAAAATGGCGGAATATTTTTACCAAGTATTGACCGATTACGTTTATCCTAGTTCATATGATAGCTATGTATGTACATAATAACATAACATAAATAGTAAAAATTTGGATCGGATTGGATTATTAGTTTTTGAGTTATCGTGCCCGCCATTCGTAAAACTACTATTTCGAGAAAATCGCATTTAAATTTTGAGAATCGCTCTTGCCGTCGCTGATGCAATAAATTTTAAATTGATATTCTTGAATTGGTGTAGGTTCGAATTAAACAAAATTTAATTTCTTTGGTCAAAATAAGCTTGTGCTGCAGCCATTTATCACAATCTTCTCTAATACCCAAATAAGACGAATCCATATCTCTTAGCGAACAAAACAAAATCGCGAAACAAAATTATAAAATGTGTTCAAATATTTCACAATCTTATTTAAAAATTGATATTTTCTTTGAAGAAAGATTTGATTGAAGAAAAAATCAAATCCCTATTCTGTCATAGTTGAATTCATACGTCGACGTATTTCGGTAACATTCATATAATTACATGTGTTCTACATTTGTGGTGAATAACGTCGAACGGTCTAGTTGAATTTTAGGTAGGGCTGTTATGAAAACTTTCAATTGATATTTTTGTCCCCTCCTGTCCACCACGAAATATTCGTCTGATAAGAACAAGATTCTATGTCGTTTTTGCCATGTACGTTTGTCCTTCCGTCTGTCTCTTATTCAAATCACGATAGAGACCTGCACTGACATTGTCATTTTTCTTAGGATATTTGCGAATGGGGTATATCCGCCCTATTTTGGGGTTTTTGACTCCGTGTTTATTTGGTATTCCGTGATTTGGAAACTTTTTTCCAGAACTCTATTAGTGGTAAATTTTTTGACATAACCTCCATATGAAGGCCCCGTCCCATATTCGCTGTTAGCATTTTTGATGTGCAAATGCTAACAGCGAATATGGAATATTCTGTATTTTTCTATAGAGGTTGAATAACATATTTGCCGATATATTTCGATAGGCGTTAATATTTTGATATAGCTCCCATAAAGAGGTCCTGTACGTATATTATCGTTTTTACCAAGTTTTTTCACTTGAGTGTCTGCATTTTGCTCAGATTATACTTAACCTACTTGCATAGATATAGCCTCCAAATAAGTGTCCAAACTTATTTAAGGAATTCTGAAGACACTCCACATGGTGGTTTTTCTTAAAATAAAAACAAAATTTTTATGTTTTGATATTCATTTCACTTTGTTGTTGATGTTGTTGTTTTTATTGGTAAATAACTTAAATTCATGAATAATTACATATTTTCATATATAGTTGACCATTCCTGGAGATATTATTTATGTATTTATGGTTGTGTGTGTGTTGTTTTTGTATGCCTGTATATTTGCTTGTATATATAAGTGATTGGTTAATCTACATACATATGTATAGGTATTTTATTTAATATTAGTTTTTTTGTTTTAAATTTTCTTAAATTGAATTTCACACATTTCATAATAAAAACTTAAAAATAATAAAAACTTAAAAAAATCGTATTTCTTTAGAAAAATATCAGTTATAAAAAATAAATTTAAATGAAAGTTTTTTTTGTATTATAATATAATTATATATTGATATAAAGAGGCGTATATATAATATAATTACTAAGTGATATATTTACATCCAAAAAAGAGATTAAAAAACATTAATGATTTTTTTCATAATTGTGCATGACAAAAAAATTGTAGTTTTTCTTTTGCGGTATGTTTTTAGTGAATAATATAACATATAGAGAATTCGACTTTGTTTTATTATATGTAGGCCTTATTATTGTTGTTGTTGTTTTCTTTAAAGATGACATAACAATTTTCAATTGGAAGCGTTTGTGGTTAAGCAACAAAATTCCTATATTATTTTGTTATTTTATTAATATTTTTGTTTTAAAGCTGTAACTTATAGTTAATAAAAAACACATATAAATTATATACAACGGCTTAATATTAAAAAAATATCTTTGTGAAAAATAAACGCTTAGCGTTGTTTTATTTTTAATGTATATTCTTATTAAGCAATAACACCATATCAGCAACTGAGTTTCAAAATAATTTTGTTTGATTTGGCAGCAAAAATATGTTTCAAGGTAGGATTTTAGTACAAAAATAAAATAGCAACAGCAGTTTTTTGAATTCGGTTATAAATTGAATAGATTTTGAAGGTCCATAAGAAGCGTGGACTTTTCTTCTAAAACATCCACAAGTGACATAAAAGTTTGTTCTCGTTGGTTGCCGCACAAGTTGACAATAAACTGGATTTTGTTCGATGGATTCAGAAAAAATTTGACGAATCATAGACCTATGCGTAGAAGCCTGAAAGAAAGCAGCAATCGACCGTGGAGGCCTTCGAAGACAAGTCACCCTAACACATGTCCATGGAAGAAGAACTTCGAAGCATTACGTCGAAAAACTGATTATGTGGTGACTGTTTCGCTTGAAAAAAGTAGGATTCATTGCTTGTTATGGATCTTCAACTTCCTATCAATATTATTTATTTTTTTTTGTGGGAAATATAAACGATTAAAATAAAACAGTTTATCAAATGGTATCTCACAACAGTGGCTCAAAATGCAAATAAATATGACAGAGACATAACTTTTATTGAAAATGGAAATATTCCCAAAATAGATGTAACCTTCAAGAACGATTATTCAATCACCAATGGGAAGATAAAATAATCAAAAAGAATGACTTGCCGAGGCCGAGAGTTAATTTAGGACAGGTCCCAAATAGAATAAGAAGGAAGAAGTCTTAGAAAGCTATAGTTAGTCAAGAAATACATCTCATCTACCAAAATCATGCAATGTTTTAAGCCTTGATTCGAAATTTGGTCAGTAAAATGAAAAAAGACTGTAAACGCGGACCGTAGACTTGACCAGACTACAAGTAAAATATACATATATAAAAATTATACCTTACACAAGTATGTTGTAGCACCAATATTTCGAGGCTTTATAAACTCTTGGGACCATACACAATATTGGTTCTAGACTCACCTAATATTAATTCTAGACCGATCATGATATCTCAATCTACAGGCGGCGGTTATAGACCTATCGACATGAAATTTTACATGTAGCTTCAAATCTGGACAACATTAAAATTTTGTTGATAATGATCGATTAATATTTATTTTGGTGGTTCTGCAGATCACATATAAGATCTGACAAAAAGGCATGACTCCTTTAAAAATTATTAGCCAACTTTCGGCTGCCAAAATTTTGTGTTAAAAAATGGCAAAGACGGGAAACAGTCCCGGGATAAATACCAATGTATAATATAGGATGAATATTGGAGATATACTAAAATACGAGTTCTAACCTAAAAAGAATAGTTATTTTCAAATCTCGTGAACTGCAAATATTATATTTTCGTATTTTTTCAGGAAACGCCCAAAAGAGCCAAGGTCGAAAAAAGGCATCAAGATTGAAGGGTTTCTCTCCGTTTTCAACTTCAGTGATGTGGTCAATAAGCAATACTACCTGAAACTTATGTGTCGATTGCGTGTAGCAATTCGCCTGAAACGCCGTAGCAGTGGAAAAAAGGATCATGGGTTTTTGGTGGGTGTTTAAAAAAAAAATTAAACCGTTATCTTGCCTCAATCGCCGCTCTTCCCTAGCTTTTCCTCCGCTACGATTAAAGAGGTACAAGAAAAATAGAAACTGCCGAAAAAATGTATTGGAAAAAACTGTTGCATAGTATTTTATACCTGAACATCGAATATTTTTTAATAAATTTAAATAACGGCTATGTTTTGATGATATCTATTAAGGAAAGGGGTCTACATATTCTAATTATTCTTCAATATTAGCATTACCACAGGCCCAGGCTTTGGATTAATATCTGTAGAAGTTTTAAGTTCTACTGTACTTGTGTAGAACCCTGTCCAACGTTAATTATTTCTAAGCAAATCTAATTTTTTATGGAAAATCTATTTCATTCCGATAATTTGTAATGATTTTTGTAAAATACTTCTATTGAGTTCTCAGATTATTTGCGGAAACTCGCAAGAAATTGCAATTTGGTAGCAAAATAGACTCACGCCGCGATATTCTAACATTTTTTAATAGTTCGGATTGACATCTCTATCGATGAGTATTGAAAAGGGTGTCAAGGTATCTAAAAATGAATTGTTATTCCTCAGCAATAGTTTCCATAAAAAGAGTTGATTTTTTTCTATTACTATTTTAACACTAGATTGCCGAAGGCAGTTATTTTGACCGCTTTTCTATTTCAAGTACAACAACAACTGT